AGAATATAAAAGAGGTAGAGCACCATTAAAGGAACACTCCGAGCACCATAACCACTACAGTGCCCTGTTACAGTTACAATCCACCAATCACTTCCTTAATTAAAAGCCAGAAGCTCCAATAAACTCTGTGCTGTGCAGTTGGGCTTGGCCTAAATGCAGAAAGCTTCCAGCATTCATAAAAGCAGAAAATGGCTCCATACAGACCCCAGGCCGAGCCGGTGCATCCATAAGGTGGTACAGGCGGTTGCCTTAGGGCACCAGAACATGGTGGGGCAAAAATCCAATTCCCCTGCATTTGGATATTTCTAATTACCTCACTCTCCCTGCGGCCAGAGAAGTCGGCCAGCCTCTACAGATGATGTCAGGAGGATGGGGCGTGACTTCCCCTGCTCTTCTCCCAGACTCCCCAGTGGGAGTCTGGTATTTCGCCTGTGTAACCAAAAATACTTGCACCAGCCCTGACCCCAGTTAACTTCTCAAACAATACAACTACTTACACAGCATGTAAGTACTCGTTTTCCTGACACTATAGCATCCTTAGGACCCCCCCACCCTCAGTGTTTAAAACACCTTCAGCCACTTACCTTTTTCAAGCGCCGGGCTCTCTCGGCGCTGGTGACCTCTCCTACCTCACCAACGTCAGCTCCCGAGAGCCGTGAGCGCATTCAAAACAGTCCATAGGAAAGCATTCTCAATGCTTTCCTATGGAAGTTTTGCATGCTGGATGCGAATTTCGCATCCAGCGTTGCCGAAGCGCCTGTCAGGAAGACAGCCACTAGAGGTTGGATTAACCCTGCTATGAAAACATAGCAGTTTCTCTAAAATTGCTATGTTTACATCTGAAGGGTTAAAACCTGGGGGACCTGGCACCCAGACCACTTCATTGAGCTGAAGTCGTCTGGGTGACTATAGTGTCCCTTTAATAATTGAAGCATCTTGCTACATTAGTGAATGGCTGCAACATTTCCACCACACAATGCTGCAACCTCCAATTGAGATTCAAAATCAACAGTATGAAAGTCACACACCAGATTCATCATTATTTGTAACAAACATATAAATTACTTATTCTGCCAAAGTGCTACTCATAGGAGCTAAGAGGAAATTGATCCCTTTGTTAAACCACTTTTTTTTCTTTTTCCTTTCCTTGAGGGCAAAGGGAGGCTAGCCATACAAAGTGCTATCCACGGCTCACCGGAACAGCACCCAACTAGTCATAACATTTCTAGTTTGGAAATGCCCATGTGTCTTTTCCTGATAAGTCAAACAAATATGTTGTATAAGGAAATATAACAAGTTTATCAAGAATCGCTAGTAATATATTCTTTATGAAGCACTACTATACTATACTGCAAAGCTCATCAAAAAACAAGAAAAAAGGTTTTATACCGATTTTGCACAAAAGCTTATTTTAAAAGATATGTGTAACTCAAGAAGAAGAAGACAAGAAATAAAAGAAAAAAAAAACTAAAAGCTGCTTTAAATCTTCTTAGGTCTTCTGTACATATTTTTAGTTTCTCAAAGGCGTTTTCTATCAGAAATGGCAAGACCTCCAGCTATCCACCTTGCAAGAAATAGAACAGGTTTTATCAGCTAAACCAGGGCTGGACAAGGTCACAAGAATTTAAGTTAAAAGCAAGGGCTTGACACATTTGCATTGAATCAAAGAGTCAGCTAAAATAGTAGCCAGGTTGGATATTTTTTTTTTTTCTTAAACAAAAGCATTATTTTTAATGACAAAGATAATCTTAAAGGAACACGATATTCACCAGAACCACTACAGCTTAATCTAATTATTCTTATATCTACAGCCTGTCCCTGCAAGCTTTTCAATGGAAACACTACCTTTTCTCAGTTTACATTGCTTCCTAGTAACACCTCCAGAGGCCGTCACTCAAACTGCCACTAGAGGTGCTACCTAGTCCAGTGCTTTACAGTGTGCAGCACCTATGTTAAGCGTCTCCACGCTCTGCATGGAGGCGCTGAACATTCCCCATAGAGATGCTGAACATTCCCCATAGAGATGAACTGATTTAATACAACACCATGAGGAGATGCGGATTAATTAAGCACTGCATTTTGCCACGCATGCACAATAGCATCCCAAGATTAATGATCTCTGCCATGGAGGCATGGCCAGCCACAGTGAGACAGGCGAGTTAAAATAATTCTTATGTAATGTGGGGACATCTAAATAGTTAAACACTATAGCGTCAGGAATACAGGTTTGTAGACCTAACATTATAGTGTCACTTTAAATTTACACAAAGAAAAAAGACAGACACACACTCACTGACAAACACACAAATGATATCTTACCAAAAGTCGCCTAACAGCCTGGAAGTCCCTCAAGAGGCTGTCTAGTCGACAGCCACTAGAGGTTGAGTTAACCCTGAAAGGTAATTATTGCAGTTTCTTGAAAACTGCAATAAGTACAATTGCTGGTTTAAGGAACCTGGAACAGTACACCCATACCACTATAATGAGCTGAAGTGGTCTGGTGCCTATAGTGTCCTACATGGCTTAATCCTACACATAAATAACAGGAATGCAGAGGTTCCCCAAACATATGTAGTTTAAAATTTACTTGGAATATGTAATTTTCATGGTGATTTACAATAACGTAAACTCTTAATGTGATCATGTACCAATCTATTTACATTGTTATCAGGCCCTGCCCTGTCATTCAAGCTAATGGTTAACTAATACAGCTTTTGAGTACAATATCTTAATTCTATTGTGTATTCATCGGTAACATTTGCAATGTTCCTACCTTCATGTATAAACAGCAATGAAATGTATATTTAGCAACACATATTGGCTTGCACACATCCAGTGCTAAAGTAACTAAACCCCAGGTCGACAAAAGGGCCTCTGCTGAATGCACTGGCCTACCACCAATAAATGCATTGTGGGATGACTAAACAAGAGATGTGCTCAGTGTTTAGCTACGTACATCTTTGAAATCATACATTTGCCAGCACAGTGTATAGATTAATGCAAACTACGTAATGAGATTTTGTCAATTGTCATTTAGATAACTCTGATTTTAATTAAGCTGTTTTGGGGGAATAAATGCTACCACTGATGCCTTGCAAAGAAAAACAATACCCTTTGTGAGAAAAAGCATTGTCTAGTCACTGTTTAGTCATTCGACTCCTAAAAGGTATCTCATTCAGGCAGCAACATGGGGCTTTGAACACAAACATATACAGTTATTTAATATATTACTACTTGCTAAGTGTGCTGACACTGGATGCGGTGTGCGCCCAATAAGAACAGCAGGCACAATGCTTCTCACAGAGAATCAATGGATAGCCGCACATGCATGCTTCTCTATGGGAAGCATCTGACCGGACAGGAGTCATTTGATTGACTTCACTCTAGGACTATTGAGCTACAGTGAGGATAATGTCTCTGCGTTAGAATAAAGTAAGTCTAAAGGTGTACCCCAGGCACCTAAAGCATGTTAGCTGGTGTTATGTTCCCGTCCCTGCACACTTGTTTTAGAAAAGTGTACATTTCAAGAGAAACCAACCCTCTTATAAAACACCTGTATTTCTACTTGACAGCCAGGAGGCTTTGCTGCCTCACTCCATTTAAACTATAGTTCTAATTGAAAGGGACAGGTGATATGCCCTGTCTTGGTGCTTTCCACTTATACGCTTTACTTTAAAAACATGCATGATTCGCCAATCACATACATGTTCAATCTGTCCACAAAGCTGCTCAGTGAGAAGTCTCTGCCTGGACAATGTCCAGCATAGATAGCCAAGTGTATGCTGGACAAAAAGAAAAAAAAAAAAAGAGATTTAAAAACATTTTATTTTTTTACAGCAACTGCAGCTAAAAACAACCTTGCTTTTACATAATTAACCCCCTTCCCACCAAAACAAACATGCAAACAACATTAAATGCATGTGTGTTAAAGGAATTGCTATTGAATGTTAGACATATTGCTTTTCTTGACAGTGTTCCTTTAATGTTTTTTCCGATTTTATTATTTTTAATGAAAAGGGCGAGCAGATATTTAAAGCAGTAAAGAAAAAGTGAAGGGGAGTGTTCCTTTAATTCATATCTTACTAAATAGAAGTTTCAAAAATGTGATACTGTAAATTTGAATGATGGATTTTTAAACATGTTCTTTTAGGCTCATTCAGATTATGAATTAAGATCACGTGAATATTTATAAAAGCAACACTGGTACTAATTTGGTTACAAAATGCTAAACATACATCAGTACAATCCAAAACCAATCATTTATTTTTATCAAAAACAGCACTGTAAAATACTGTATTGATAATAAAATGTGCATTATTTAAAAAAAAAAAAAAAAAACACCACCATGTGAAATTCACAGAAAGCTTCTGATCTCCAGATAAAATGACACATCAGACCTGTTTTAACTGAGGACTCATCTTATCCAATTAACTGCTTTTCTGTCTAAAATCCATACAAAACACGTGTCCTTTTATCTATATATTTTAAATATGCTACAAAAGCGATCACACTCACATAAAATTACAGTTCTTTTATCCAGACACTAGTGCAATGTCTCAGTGACAGCGATATAGGATGAAGAACAAAAGGAAATTAAGGCACAATGCACAAATAAAAGTGGATGCAGAGTAGAGCCTTTCACAGTCTCCAATCCAGGGAAGAGATTACAAAGGAACTAACCGCCAGGGGTCACATAGCATACCAACAAAGTGTCTAATCAAATTATTGCATGGGGGGCCTGGGCCACTACAAAGTGCAGCACCTACAGCAGTCAGTGACATACAGCATGTTCTATCACTGATACAATGTAACCGATTCTCATCCCTGCAATCGTTCTATGCCCTCTGTATTCTAAATGACCTCTTACCAGCTCTGCCAAAGGAGATCTTTCAGGATAAGATAATATATATTATTTTTGGATTTCTTTTTTTCACTGAAACGTGCACGATCCCTTCTCATTCTCCTTCCCCTCAGCCCTGATATGTAAGTGAATATCTTACCAGGAGGCGGGGTGGTATTTATAAAGCTCCTGTCAGGATATGGGGAGGCAGTGCGAGCAGATATTCCTTTATTCCAGGATGGGAGGTAAGTAGTCCTAGTACTATTGCCCGATTTGAGCTCCAGCTTGCAGTCACTGCTTGCAATCTGCTGCCTGATGAACTGTGTAACTCCCCCGGAAGTAATAGCCGAGCTCAGCCCCAATCACACATGCTGCAGCTCTGCCTGGAGGCTGCATACTGAACTGTGTGCACTCACTGAGCTCTGTTTACAGTAACACTTACACATGCAGGGAGGAACATGGCCTACAGTGTCTCTGCTGTACTGCAATTGTGTGTGTGAGAGATCTGCTAAATGAGTATTACTGTATTTAACAACTATTTGGCTAAGCTCTAGTGGTGTGGGTGTTTAGTTCATTTAACATAATGCCGCAGTTTGTGGCTGTGCTGGTAATACTTGAAATGATAAACTGAAACCCAGGAGCAGGTTACTCCTCTCTTCAAGGACCACTTTGCTTAATTAAACACCCTTTTGTAAATACTGTTTATGACTGCAAACTTTGTAAATAGCTCTAGGTAAGAGCAATATGAGAGACAAAATATGCAGGAAGTGGCTACAGTTGTTATGCAAAACATAACATGCATATGTATTATGCAAAAAATGCATTAAAATTAGAAGAACAATTGCTTTTAAAGTTGCAGCCCAATTGTATATAGAACAGTAAGAACCCCACATATTGCTTATAATATTCTTTTGGGACCTAAGGACAGAGAAGGTCTGTTACCCAATGCTCTACATTATTATATAGCAGCCCTTTTCAGTAGAATATTAGAATGGATGAATATAAATAATCGAAAATCCTTATATTAGAATGGATGAATATAAATAATAGAAACTCCTTTTGTGAGCTTGAGCAAAGTTTTGTTACAATTCCCTTACACACCATCCCTTGGCAAGTGAGCCATATTTACCAATTTATGGTATTAGATCATCCTTTGATAGGAATGGTTTTTAAGAAATGGAGATCGTAAAAAACTATATCGCAGTTGTCTCCCAATAGCACATAATCCTGGCTTTCAAAACAAACAGGGAGCACATGTTTTGGGCAAGAGACCGATAGTACAGTGAACTCTACACTGATAAAGGGTTAATTCCCAACATTGCCATAAATGCTCAAACATAATAGACCTAATAATAACACTATTGCAGAGTCTAGGATATGCCCGACTGAGGGAGAACTTGAAATGGAAGATCATACCTAGATGGCAACCCAGAGACCTAACCCCCTTTGAGGAGGAGTGTGTCTCCTGCAGGATTGTAAGAAAGGCCAACCCCCAGAGTGGATAAGGAGGGGGGAGCATGACTGCTGCCCTGAGACTTTGGCATGGCAACAAGGGATACAATGTTTGAGATGCACCTGGACCGGGGACACTGCGAAAAGACTTACCAGACCACTGGAGAGCATGCTCGTAATACCCACCCCAGGACATCCGAAGCTGAATGGTCGACCAGGGAGTCGGAAGGGACGCAGGATTCCCTTCCAAACACCCACCCAAGAAGATCTGGAGCTCCTATGGGGGTGAGCCACAGGCAGGCAGGCCGCAGTACCAATAATGCCAGGTGGATCGGATGTGGAGCTGATTGACAGACCCCTGCTCCAGAACCGTGAGTTGGAGTGCGCTCGCGCTTGGTTAGGGGCAGAGGGGAAGTCGGGGCTAGAAAAGGGGGGTCAAGGGGAAGTAGTACAATTGATGCGCTTAGTGTTAGATCGCTTAGGGCAATGGGGACCGTCGGCATAGGGGGTGACGCGCAGGGTGCTATGCTTCCCGCGGGGACTCCTCCGTTGGGTACAGTAGGTGGTACTTCAGGGGGGCCGGTGTGTGACATTACCCTCCTGGGGTTGCATGTGTCTTTGGAGGTAAGGGACAAGATCCTTAAGGGTGAGTATGTGGACCTCATCTCTTTGGTCCCATTTGATAGGGAATCGGCTGATAAACTGTATAGCGGTGAGGCGATGGAGAGTGAAAAAGGTAAGCAGCTCCCCCGTACCTTCGAAAATTGGTTGCAAGGATTTGCAACCTATGCCAGCATTATGTCGGCAAGATTTCCGGAGTGGGTCCCATTGTTGTTTACGTATTTGGATTTAATTTTGGGGACTTATAAAGTTTAAGGGGGACAGTGCTGGTTTAAGTATGACCAGCTGTTTAGGCAGAAGATGGTGGTACAGCCACACCTGGATTTTGGAATGCAGGATGGCAACCTTTGGTTGCTTCTAATGACTCCCTGTTGTCCGTCAACATCGTCCTTTCCTTTGGCCGCCGGCGCTTCTGGTGGAGCGTTGGCAGGGCACAAGAAGGACGTCTGTTGGCTCTTCAACGAGAGCCACTGCAGATGGTACAGCAGTTGTCGATTTAAACATGAGTGCTCCCACTGTGGCGGGGTTCACCTGGCGGTTCAATGTTTTAGAAGAGGAAAGCCCCTCTCCAGGAAGGCATCAAAGGATGACGCACAATTTGTCCTCCATCCGGGGTAAGGAAGGGGTGCTGGCAGCTAAGCTGAGAAAGGAAGTGGTGATGGGACGGATGGCGGGTCAGTTTTCCATTCCTCTGTTTGATCATTTGCGGCTGTCCCCATTGGGCCTGGTTCCTAAGAAGGAACCGGGGGCATTTCAGCTTATTCATCACCTGTCCTTTCCAGCGGGGTTTTCGGTTAATGACGGGATATCAAAGGAGGATAGTCGGGTCCGATATACTTCGTTTCATCGGGCTCTGGATCTTGTTCGGGAAGCAGGGCCCAGGGCCCTGGTGGCTAAGTTGGACATTCAGTCGGCTTTTAGGTTGCTCCCAGTTCAACCTACCTGTTTTCATTTGTTGGGGTGTCAGTTTCAGGGGGAAATTTTTTCTACGACATGTGCCTTCCCATGGGTTGCTCAATTTCTTGTTTTTAGTTCTTTGTTGGAATGGCTTCTCTTCCCTCTTGCACTATCTCGACGATTTCTTGTTCGTTGGTCCTGCGCATTCTTCGAGGTGTGAGGATTTTTTGGGACAGTTTAGGGCAGTTATGCTAGATTTGGGGGTTCCAGTGGCAGAGGACAAGACGCCCGTGGGCGGTGATTTCCTTCCTGGGTATTGAGATTGACTCCATCAGCTTGGTTTTTCGTTTGCATGTGGACCAATTGGGGATCCTTACCACCATGGTTGATCAGGTGAGGGGTGCTCGAAAATTGCAGCTTCGGCAGATGCAATCCCTGTTGGGCCACCTGAACTTTGCGTGTCGGACCATGCCTATGGGTTGGGTGTTTTGTAGGTGGCTGTCTCTGGCTACCATCAGCATTAGTCTTCCACATCACTTTATCCGGGTTACCAAGCAGCTTAAGGATGATTTGAGGGTCTGGAGTGAGTTCCTAGCTGGTTACAATGGTCGGAGGTTTTGGCGATGAAAAGTGATATTGAATGTGGCCCTGGAGTTGTTCACAGATGCCTGTGGCTCCTTGGACTTCGGGACTTCGTTGGTGTGCAGAGCCTTGACCAGCAGCGTGGCACGAGGCAGAACTGATACGGAACTTGACTTTTCTCTAGCTTTTCTCTATTGTGGAAGTGGTGGAATTCTGGGGGGAGGAACCGCGAACAGGAAGGTGGTCCATGTGGTGAATTGTTTATCGTCGGGTTCGGTTCCAGTTTTGGCTCTGTTGCGTCAGTTGGTGCTGCGTTGTCTGGAGTTTAACATTTGTTTTCGAGCAATGCATGTTCACAGGGTGTCTAACGTTATTGCCAATTCTCTTTCTCGCTCTCAGTGAGATCGTTTTCGGGAGGTCGCTCCTGTTAAGTCCCACGTGCTTGTGGACTCTCCATTTCGGAACCTAGCAGACCTTTTTGGGAGATCGCTGGCTCCCACTTCGTGGACAGCCTATCGGGCAGTGTGGAAGCGGTGGCTGGACTATGCGGGAAAGTTCGGTTTGTATTCGCTGAGGGTAGGTTGCTGTCTACTTTGGCTTACTTGTCAACCTTACAGGAGCGTGCATCGTCCATGGCATCAGTGGAAAGCAGCTTAGTGGCTCTTTCCTTTCTGATGCGTTGTATGAGGTGGGAGGACGTTTCAAAAGAGTTCGTGGTCTAGAGGATGCTTCGGGGGTGGAGGAAGGAGAGAGTTCCGGATTGTAGGCGGCCAGTGTCCACCTGTTGGATGCACTGTGTGATGTTCTCTTGTCGATGTGCTTCTCCGCCTTCGAGGCGCTGCTCTTTCGGGTAGCCTCTTCCCTGTGTTTTTATGCCACACTGCGGATAGGAGAGTTGGTGGACGTGTCAGCTAGGGCCTGGGCATCACTCGGAGGGAGGATGATTGCGCTGGGCTGGGTGGCGTGGAGTTGTTCATTCAGAGGTCCAAAACAGACAAGCTGGACGTGGGAGTATGGGTGCTACTGGGGGTCGGTGGTGTCCGGTGGCGCTGGTAGGGCAATATTTGCGGTCACAACCGGAGGCGGCAGAATTCTTTTTGCTTCACGAAAAAGAGTCAGTCTTAACTTGGTCTCAGTTCTCCAGTGTTTTTAAGGCCGGGTTGCGGGCGTTGGGTGTGGAGGATGGGGGATACTCTCCCCACTCCTTTCGGATTGGTTCAGCGATGCAGGCGCTGTCTGATGCTGCAGTTCAGCACAAGGGTCGATGGGATTCCCACAGATTTCTATTGTACATTCGTCCTCACCTGTTGTAGGGCTTTGGTGGATTATGCTGTGTTGTTTTTTCTCTACAGGTTCCCCCCGGTATGTTTGGATCATCGGTTACTCCTTTATTTATTGGGTGGCTAGGCATGCAGAGCAGAGACCGTACTGATGTAATCTAGGGCTCCCGCACAAGCAGGTTAGGGTACAATGGCGGGGGATACGGGGTTTGGGTTGGCACCAAGTGTATCCGGAGTGTGTCGCACTTCGTGACCGGGCCGGTGGTTCTGGGGATTCATGCCGGGGGGAATGACTTGGGGCAGAGCTGTGCAGTAGATTTAATTTATGCGTGCAAGCACAATTTGGCTCGGTGTATGGCGCTGTTCAGTGACGTCATGCTGGTGTGGTCTGAAGTCATTCCTTGTCCGGCTTGGGGGGCGCTGCCACATGCCAAAGTGATGGAGTGCGGCAGACGGCGGTTCAACATGACAATTTCACTTTTTGTGCGGAGGCTCGGTAGCATTGTCGCACGTCATGTGGAGCTGGAAGGGAACAACTTAAACCTAATGAGGACAGATGTGGTCTACCTGAATGAAATTGGGTTGGATATTTTCAATTTGGGACTACAGCCATTGAACAGGCGATGGCTTCGGGGGGACGCAGTCCTCTCCAAGGATAGGGGAGAGGCTGCAGTGGCGGTTTGTCCTTCGCCAGCAAGTGGAACTGAGATCATACTTAAACAGGCTAGCACATAGGATAGGTCATGCACAAGAGTCCAGTATCATAAAATGGAAGTGGTACATACAGGATAGAGCTAAAACAGGAAATAGTGGTACGGCTGTATTACATGAGAAAATTGAAGATGCGCCGATAAAAGAACCTGGTTATCTGTCAGAAGCAGACAAGCCAGGGGAATCTCCAGTAGAGTGGGGAAAGTCTTTTGCGTAACTAACACAAGATCAAGCAAAGCATGCTCGGTTTACTGATGGTTCAGCAAAATACATTGGTAATGAAAGACAATGGAAAGCAGTGTCTTACAACCCAGTAAGCAAGAAAATCCTGTCTACAACAGGAACAGGAAAAAGTAGCCAATATGCAGAATTATATGCAGTGTTTCAGGCTCAGAAACAAGAGATGCCTGGAAGCTGTCATATATATATATATATATATATATATATATATATACAGATTCCTGGTCGGTTGCCAATGGACTGGCTACATGGTTGCCTACGTGTCAGTCACATCAGTTCACGATTCATACAAAGGAAGTCTGGGCAAAAGATTTGTGGTAGCAGATATGGGAGATGGTACATCAAAATGAGGTAACAGTCTTTCATGTTGATGCTCACTGCAATACTGACTCATTGGATTGTCTGTTTAACTCTGTTGCAGACGAGAAAGCTGAGGCGTCCAGTGAATATTCTAACTCACTCTTGGGATTGGCTAATTGGGCCCATCAGAAATGTGGACACTTGGGAGACAATGACCTATATTAAGTTACCAAACAAATCATATGCTTTGTTAACAATAAAATCTATAACGCCCTTTGGCTGCCGCATACTATATACACATGTAAACTTTAATATTTCTTCAGAAGAACTTACCCAATATTGAGTAAGTTATGCAAACTAACAGAGCAATAAGCAGGGCCGGACTGGCCCA